GTAAGTTCCCTAAAATTTACCGTCTCTCCCCCCATTTCATAAGCCCCATCCCCAATCACATTATCCACCATATACACATTTTCTACACTCAAATTTCTCACACCAGACCGAAGTAAGGTTGGAGCTGCCAGTCGGGTTACACCAGGACAGGGGAGAGCCGCCGCTATTGTCGGCTTACCAACAACCATCGCTGCCTCCACCATCGGCTCATCCTCCGCAATCAGGCCCTGGATCGTGAGCGGCCGGGTCTCATTCGGACACGCAGTGCGGGTCACACCAGATTGTTCCACCGCCCCTGATTTTGCATCTCCTCCCATCAACGTTGGGACCAGGACTTGTTCGCCTGCCATCGACGCGAGACGATCGGCCCCAGCATGAATTGCATCGTTCCACCGTATTCGGCTCGCTTCCGGGTCGGGCGGCATCTCTTCTACTTCCATCGCTCCGTCCGTCATCCCTTCCTCCATACTCTTGTGCTCAACAGGAAATGAAGAGTAATTTTCTTTCGGCCTTATCTTAACCTTCTTCGTGGATCAGTTTGTTTTTAGGCAAAGCGGCGCATCCCCTTTTTCCATTAAAGCAACGTCGAGAGAGAGTAGCATCTTAGGATCGGCGATTTAGGGTTTTGGTGGTTTAGGGGTGGCAGCCGAGAGAAGAAGAAGACAATTTAGTGTTTTTAGAGAAATTTTAAAAAAGTTTTTATTTTTATTATATAAGAAAGAAACATAATTTCTTTGGCTTAAGGTAATTTCTTTAGTTCAAAAGTACGAGACTTTATAAAATTTAAAAATTTGTTTCATTAAAAAATGATCTTATCATAGGCAAGTGCTAACTAAGATATAGATACAGTGTTTTGTTATTCTATATGCAAAGTTAATAAAAAATAAAAAATAAAAAATAGTAAATAAATTTCTAATTTTTTTCTGTTAGCGAGAAAAATTAATATTTCTCGATTATTATGATTTCAATTGTCTTGTTAGTTTTAATTTTATTAGAATATATATAATTGATTTTATTTAATTTTAAAATAAAAAAAAATTTAAAAAATTATTTTTACTTTAACTGTGATTAAATTAATTTAAAATTTATATTACTTTAAAGATTTTAATTAAACATTAATATCCATCATTTAGCTTTCTTTCAGAATGGTGAAACAATGACCTTTCAAAATCAAGGGGAAGGAGCATAGACATCCCTTTTATTCCTGGATATTCAGCCATCAATATAGTACAGAATACATGTGACTAATACATAGCAAATATATAGTAGAAACAAGTCTGCTCTTTGATTTAACCACATAGCTCCTTGCTCCAACTTTTCCAGGAAGATTGAAGACTAGGAGATATCAGCACACAGGTACATTTATTTCATAATTTTCCATTGTCTGGAATATATATGATATTACACAAGCACCAAAAGCCTTTGGTTACACGATTTATTCTATTCACATTCAACAATCACAAATACTTATAAACATCAAAGGCTAAATTTTCAACAAGCAGGCAACCAAGGAGCAGTCTGACATTAGACAGATCATTCACATAGCAGAAAAATCTTTGGATGAAGAATCTGTAGTACCAGAACTCAGTTGTTTGGCTCGAGGGATTGGTTGCATTCAATTCCTAGTTCAGAAAATGCCTCCACCAGCTTTGGAAAGATCTTAGCAAGCATCATTTTGAAGCCTGTAGAGCTCCCTTTTGGCACTTCATGCCTATTTCCTGCACATCCTACTACAGCTCCCTCCATGTAGGCCTTACAAGCCAATAGAATATGTTCTGCACGCTGGCTGAAGTGTTCCTTCACAAGTGCCTCAAAATGCTGCACCATCAAAAATTCAGTTGCTACCAAATTGAGAATGAAAGTATGCAGTGGCTATACATATCATTTTGCAAAACCAAAAGACTTGCATATATTAAATTATATTTAGAAAACCTTACCCTCTTTGTGCCAGTTAAGAGAATTTATAGTTTAGAATAATCATATAGACCCTTGAATTACAAACCTAGCCTTTTAAACTCTATCATGAAGAGAAGGGCAACAAAAGATAGACATACATTGGGAGGCTTGCAAAGTAGGTAAAGCATGGATTTGCAGCTGAGAATGAAAGCGTTTTCATTGTAGCTTACTGAATTCTTCTCTCCCTCAGCTCTACCCATCTGCTTATCATATCCAGCTTCATTGAAATAAGGTCTATCATTAAGAACAAGAGCCTGGAGAGACAGAAGAACTTGAAGTATGGTGGAGCTTCCCGGATTCCATACTTCAGAACTTGTACCAGTCCATGTATTGAGAAGGCTGAGACAGACTCTTCCAGACTCGTACAAATTTGGATTTACACGGAGTCCACCAGAGTTGTAATGCACCAACTGCACAGGATAATTTCCAAATAACGACATACGACTTGAGAGCGAAAGTAATGTTTTCATTATCAAGGATCAACTTCGCATGTTTGTAAATGAGAAGAAATTGTTACAGAAACTATTTATGTGAAGAAAAGATTGATGAAGTAAGCCACTAGATAATCAAACAGACAGAATGGTTTTAAACCGCAAGGTCATCTTTGAACGATTGAAGTTGGAGTGATCCAAACAGCAGGTATCATTGAAGGATCACTTGGTAATCATCAGTGCAGAAACATAAAGAACTTACAGGTGGTTCATGAGGATATTCTGGTGGAAGAAGAATGTCAAAAAAGAAAAGCCCGTCGTGGTATGGCGTTCCAGGTGCACCAACCAGGACTGCCCGTAAAAGATCCATCCTCTCCTCATAGACGCGAACATAGATTGTTTCTGTCCAAGTCATCGAAGTTTTATCAGTTATAAATGATAAATGTAGTGCTCTGGTGTTTCCAAATTGATTTATGGACATAATTGGCCACGGCATAGGCATAGATTTCAAACTGCTCTTGCACCCTTTTCTATTTTGTAGAGCTTTCTAATCCAAACAGATGGCAGAACTTTTCAGAAAGACAAGTTACATTTTTTGTATTTTTGTTGTTTTCTTTAAAAGATGAGCATTTTTTTAGCATCTCCTGTATATGAATATTTTTATGGTTCAATGTCCGTGCAGTTTTTCCCCTGTTTTACAGCCATTTTGTTTGCATTTTTGACCATTTATTTCCCAACTTATTGAAGAAATACAAGTATAGAGGTGCCACATTAATTGGAAATATTGCACCATCCCATTCTCATTAAAAGTTCTAAGAGCTAGTGGGTAAGAAAATAGTTAATACCTAACAAATAACCTGTCATTTTCAGTTCAATTTAACACACGTATTTTTAAATTAATACAGTTAAGAAAATACAAAATAAAAATAAAAAACAAATCCATATCCAGAAAGTATAAATAAATAGATGAACCCACTATACAATCCACCATCAAAACCCAAGTTTCATCCAGAAATATTTCAAACTACAAAAATAAAGAGTTCATAAAATAAAGCAAGCACTAACCAGGAAGATTTCTCTCTAGAATGCTCCATTCTTGCTGAATCCTCCTTAACCAATCTCTTTTTACCTATATTAAAAAAATATTAAAAATAAATAAAAAAGGCTATCCCAACTGTTTGGCCAGGTCAACTTGCTTTTATTTAATTGATTATGTCCTACCTGTGATTGTGCCAATCCCTTGCTCGCACCAAGATAATGGTGGTCAGAAGGATTAGTAACCATATCAAACTGTCTAAAGTGATCTGGATTCTTGGCACCCTTGTAAAAAGTAGAATCCTGATCCTCCTCCTGTTCTCCTTCCTGCTTCAGATATGTATTCCTGAACATCTGCGGTCCACATGTATCTGGCTCAGAGATCTCAGAAGTTTCAATTTCTTCCTTGAGGAGAATCTCAGATTCATTTTGATCTTCAGAATTATCTCCAACTGAAGTAAGGCTTGATGATGACGTGGAAACATTGGATCCAAACAGGGTTTCTACAATGCTCGTGAAAAATCCAATGGCTGCTCTGGGAAGGAAAAAGGAACTAGATTCTAATGGGTACTTGTTGCAGTTTTCAGCAGGATCATTAAAATTCATTAATTCCTGCAAAGGAAAGCATCTTTTATTAACGTAAAAACTTAGAATGAAGTTCTCTGACCTACGCTAAAGTTCAGTGAAATAAAAAGATTCTGTGATATGGGTCAGCGAGTCAATAATGCTACAGGTCAGCAACTTAGTATCAGTCAGCAGGCCAGAAGGAGAAATCAATCAAAATTATTCTTTTCGTGCGAAAGTTCATATGAACTTTACTCTAATAGACGCAAGAAGGAATAGCTGGCACATTGGACATTTCTTTAGCTTCGGTTTGTTCAGTTCCCATTCAGTTGTTTTTACTTTCGGTATTTTCTGTGGCTTAGCTGAAAACTGGGAGTCAGTCACTAGTTAATGTGCATAGTTATTTTCTATTTCCTCTTGCAATCAGTTATCAGATTTGCTGGGGAGGAAATAGAGATTAAGCAGTATTTTCTTCTGATTTATGAGTTCCTAAAACTGTAGATATAATAAGTATTGGTAATAGTTTGCACAATCGCATTAGATATAGTAGTAAATGCTATTATACTAATCTAATTCAATAATTATGGTTTTAACACATGATAGTTTGTCTGGTTAATGAATGACCACAGTTAGTAAACATACTTAGATTTAATGAGATTGAAATCAATAATTAAATTTTCATGAGATTAAAGCCAAATAAAAATTTTTTAGTGATAAAAAAAGATACTGCTAACAATCTGTCTATTACAGTGAATAGACCCCAATACTACTATAACTCTCTGTCTTTCATTTGGTGATCAAGAAAGAAACAAAATCTTCTCAATTCAAGCCTGATTACAGATAATGGTCATTCACTGTTCCGGGGCTTATATTTGGAAATTTTATTTTGTTAGTTCCTTATCCATAGTCCTACTACCAGCAATTTAGTCTTTTCTCCTTTTTGGAAAGTGAAAGTTGTATCTAAGGTGAGAGTTTTTGTGAGCCACGGTTCTAGAGATGATTAACACTAGCTCCAGACTCGTAGACCTCAAAAAACAGTCTCTGAATTTGTATTGATGTGTTTTCAACATTATATTGACTTGTTTCTTCATTGTGAGATGGCTAGAGGATTTGGACCAGATTACTTTCTTCTCTTCATGTTACTTGGGTGTCTCCTCCCAACTTAGGGATTTCCATCTCCACTTCTATAGTGATTTGGGTCAAGTAGGAATCATAAGATGCCTTGGGGAGGGTCAATTTTGTTAGTTACAGGTCCGTTAGTTGGGAAAAATGCATGAAAATTTGAGCAAAGGTCTCATCCATTTGATAAACTTGAGAGAGGATGCTGTTTCTAGAGGATGGTATTTTTTACTTCTATTTGGGCTTAAGCCCATTGTTTGCTTGGTAGATTTCTTTATCCATGCTACAAATAGATTGGGATCCTATTTTCTCTTGGCTTAGTTCTTGCTTTGTTTCTTTTTGTTTTGGGGGATAACTAATCCTCCTTTTAGTTTGCAATTCTTTCTTCTATCTTAATAATATTTCTTTGATTTTTTTTTATAAAAAGAGTATAAGGTAACAAAAATTGGTCTTAATAAAGGGCTGGGATAGAAGTGCAGTTATAGTAATTCAAGTTCCATTAAGGCAACTTCTGGTATAACTTCTCAGCAATCAAAATTGTCACAATTGGCAAAGGTTCAAAAAATTTGATAGACGTCCAAATTTGTATTACACTAAAGACACATAGCACCATTTCATAGTTTTCCAGTTCCACACGAAAGAAGCAAACATTTCATAGACATTTTAAATCATCCACAATATCATTGCAGCAGGGAATTCTCTCTTTGTTTCTGACAACATACTACTCTATATGACACTGTGCATATACAACCCCCGTTAAAAAGGAAGAAAAAGGGGAGAATAATTTACCCTTTTCCTTGG